TCATCGGGTGGTACCGCGCTTGCGTCGCCGGTCGTCTTGGCGTGCAGGAGCGCGCGCATCGCTTGCTCAAACCCGAGCGAGTGGCTCGCAAACATCTCCATAATGTGCTGGCTCACGGGCACGCCCATGATGTGACCCTCGAGCAGCGGCGCCTCGGCAAAGAACGGGATTGCCTTCTGAAAGTACTTGACTTCGGTGGTTTGCGAGGCTGCGTCCCACTGCAGCACCATCCACGACACCTCGTGGGCTAACCCGAGGCGCGGGTCAAAGGTGAAAATCTCGTCTTCGTGCACGTTGCGGGCAACGACGACGACGCGCGAATCGCCCTCGCGGAAGCGCTTGAGAATGATGCGTCGCTGGATCTTCCCGAGCGAATAGTGCCGAAGACTACCCACGTACAGTGTATCGGCATCGACTTCTTCGAGCACGCGATAGACGCCTTGGACGCTGGCGACGGTAAAGACACCTCGCAAGACGTCCCAGATGGCGCTCGCGGCCTCAGCGAGCGGCGCGGGCAGCCGCGTGAACACGATCGTGTGCACCTCGAGGAGTCCGTCCCGCAGGACCGGAATGTATTGTCGGCCTTCTTTGACCGGCTCGATGAGCTTGGCTTCAATGAACGCGCTTGTTTGGCTCGCGTAATCACGGTTGACGATTGCATGGTACGCGGCGCGGCGCGCGATCGGGTCCGCGACCAGCTTGTAGTGCTTCCACTGCTCGTGCGCGTCAACGCAGACGTAGCGCGGTGTCGGCGACTTGCGAATGAGCGCCGCGAGCGACTGCGCAAACTCGACCTGCTCGCTAATCGCCTCTTTGAGCTCGCGGTTCTCGAGGAGGACATGCGCACGCTGGACCCGCTCTTGTTTTGCGAGCTTCTCCCACTTGCTCGGTGGTTGGAGAATGTCACGCAGCTCGCTGTCACGCGTGAGCTGCTCCAGCTCGGCCTGCAGCTCGTCGACCTTGCGCTTCAAGAAGACGAGCTCGTCGCGCTGTCGCTGCCGATGGCGCTGCAGCGCGAGCCGTTGGCGCTCGCGGGACGATGCGCCCAATGCCTTGTTTTCGGCGGCGAAGACGGAGCCGTCGATGGACGCGAGGTCGCAGTCGGCGAGGATGTCGGCGCCAAAGAGACCGCCGTCTTGCCAGCCTTCGTCGCCCATCTCCACTGTGTCGAGATTGCACTTGCCAGATCCTGTGTGCTCTGAAAACCTCCAAGAACCAATAGTCACCCGAATGTGATCGAACAGCACCGATGCATATGCGATGCCAGAGGTTTCCTGACCATCTTGCACCTAGAGAACGCGACCCACTGCGCCTCTGGGCGACCGATGCAGACGGTATACTCTAGTACTAATATGGGCACGAAAGGCAACCAAGGAGTTGACGATCGAGCCAACTGCAGCAGCAGCCCACACGCATGTGACGCTCGATGGTGCGCAGGATGGGATGGCCTTGAAGGCGCCGCCGGATGGCTTGAAGTACGTTGTCGACGCAATCGGCAAGGCTGTCAACACAACGCTTCTTGATCGGCGGTAGGAATCAGCGCTTCCACTCCTCCTCATGACGATAAGCTATCAGCACTTAGTATTCATCTACAATGTCGTTCTACTGGCCAACGGTGCGCGTACGAGAAGCGCGAGGCGATACACAGTAACCTTGCCGAGACGTCGTGCTCGCGACAAGGTGTTGCCCGATGACTGCCTCGTGCTTGTCGGATCTGCAAGCTGCGCCAACCTAAAATGTGCTGCCGAGCAGCCCGGCCACCACCCACGGCTCCGTCGCGTCCGTCGGCAAGCGCTCCCATGGACAAGCTCGTCAAAGAACCTTCATACCTTCGTATCGCAGACAAACAAGACAGGCTTCGAGTTAGCTTAATACAGTGATAGGAGCAAGTACAGTAGGGCAGTCATCACCCAGACGGCGGCGCGGACGACGCAATGATGCCGGCGATCTGGTCGCGAATCGCGCGCTCGTAGCTTTTGGTGATCTTTTGGAAGAGCAGCATGAGATGCATTGTCACTGGACCCTCGGCATCTTTGAAGGACGAGAGGGGCGGGTGCACTTTCTGACAGTACTTGAGCGTGACGGCACCCGTCGCAGGGTCCTCGATAAGCTGCGCCCATGCGACCTCGTCCATGACGGCGAGCTCCGGGTCGAGCGGGAACACGTCGTCGACCGCGATGCTCCGCGCCACGTACGAGACGCAGTGCGGGCTGTGATACCGCTTCACCAAGAGCCGGCGCTGGGCTTTGAGGGGTCGGTGCAGCGACGAAAAGTACGACATATCGGCGTCAATGTCGGCCAAATGTACGTACTCGCCGAGCACGGGCTTCAAGCGCGACGCACCGCGGATGACGTCCCAGCCCGCCTGGACAGCCACGTCGAACGCGCAGTCCAAGTACACGAGCGCGATCGTGTCGACGATGAGCGCGTCGCCTTCGAAACGCGCTTCGTTTTTCTGAAACTCGCTTGTCGGGTTGGTCAAGCCGGCTTGTGCGTACGCAGCGTCGAGCTTGGCAATCTCGCTGTCAGTGATCGCGTGGTAGGCCGCCATGCGCGCACACGGCTCCATCGGTAGCGTCAATGTGCGCTCTGTGGCCGTGTACGAGCTCGGGTACAGCGACCGTGGCCGCTTGGACACGATGCGCACGAGCGAGTGCGCAAAGTCCACTTGCTGGTGCAACGACGCGCGGAGTTCGTCGTTCTGGTCCATGGCGTCTTGGCGCCGCTTGCGCTCCGCTTTCGCGAGGAGCTCCCACTTGGCAGGCTCTTCCGCCACAGCGGCGCGCTTGGCGTGGAGCAACTCCAGCTTCTCTTTGAGCTCTGAGACCTTGTCGGTCAAGAACGCAAGCTCGGTGCGTGTGCGCTGGCTGTGACGATGGAAGGCCTCGCGCTGCTTGCGCCTCTGCTCTGAGCGAGGCGATGGCGGCGGCTCCTCTGTCGTCGACGCCTCGAGAGCAGCGACGTCGAGGCCATCCAGCGCGGCCTGCACGTCGTCTTCCCACGTCGGGCCCAGCATCGTTTCCAGTGGAATGGAGCCCTCTGAAAAGCTATATTCTCGCGTGTGTTACAGGTATGCACCTGTCACGTGTTACGTTGCAGCCACTGTCGCGTTGTTTGAGCCAGTGGATGAGACGCTGGCTTATACACTGTTTCCGTTTCATTCGAAACAGCCCCCAGTCCACGACACTGTGGGGCGCTGTTGGTGTTGGCTATTGCTGCTCAGTCTACAACAAATCCAGCTCCCTTTGCACGTTGCAGCTAGGAAGACGTTGCATGATTCCCTTCAAGGCAGCGAGCTTGCCACTGCTGACGGCCACTCCGGCCTAATTCTTATCCCGTCATTCACTGAGATGCTGCTATCGCGTTGAACCATGAGACGACCCAACAAGGAACGAGCCGACGTGGGCAAGACGACAACATGTATTAGATAGGCGATGGTAGGGTGCTGGGACGCAAAAAGAGCGTCTTACAACTCGGTGTACGTGCCGAGACTCAATTTCTGCACTTGGGCGTGGATCTCTTCTTCGAATTTGAACATGCCCTTGGCGTAAAGCTCCATGAGGTACTGGCACGCGAGCTTGGACCCTTCGTCTTGGCTCTTGGTCGCGACAAGCGACGGCTTGGCCTTCTGAAAGTACCTGAGCTCCGTGAGTCCCTGCGCGTCCATCTCGACCGACATCCACGCAATCTCGTTCGCGATCGCATAGTCGGGCAAGAGCGGGTACAGCTCGTCGTCGTAGATCGATCGGTGCACAATCACGCACCGCGTCGGGTTCTCAAAGTACCGCTTGACGACGACGCGCCGCTGGATGTTGCCCACCGGCGACTCGCGCTTCCCCGTCACGTACGTCATGGACGCGTCGAGTTCGAGCATCATCTTGTACACGCCTTGGAGCGCCATGACCTCGGCCGCACCGCGCGCGACCTCCCACACGGCGTCGGCCACGATGTTGAAGAGGACGGGAAACTTGCATCGAATGATTGTCTGCACCTCGAGGCAGCCGTCGTGCACGATGGGCACGTGGCGCCGGCCCTCCCACGACGTCTCCATCAAGCCTGCTTCGATGAACGCGCTGTTGAGCTTGGCGTACTCGCGGTCGACGATCGCGTGGTAGGCAGCGTCGCGCGTGATTGGGTCGGCCACGAGCTTGAGGAGTTTCCACTGGTCGGTCGCGTCGGCGTGGTTGATGGCGAGACGCGGCTTCTTTTGCACAATGCTGACGAGGCACTCGGCGAACTGGACCTGCTCTTCGAGCGCTTCTTTGAGCCGCGAGTTCTCGAGCAGCGCCTCTTGCTCGCGCCGGCGCTCGTTCTTGGCGAGCTTTTGCCACTTGGACGGCGGGTGCAGAATGTCCTGAAGCGCCTTCGCCTGCGTCATGCTCTGCAGATTCAGCTGGAGCTCTTCGACCTTGGACTTGAGGTAGTTGAGCTCGTTGCGCTGCTTTTGCCGGTGGCGCTGGACAGCGAGGACTTGCTTGGACGGTTGCTTCTTCTTGGGTGCGGTCTCGGTCTCCGAGCTGCTCGAGGATGCGACGCCGGGCGGGAGGAAGATATCGTCGAGCATGTTGTACTCGTCGAAGGTCAGCGGCGCCGGCAGCGCCATGCTGTTGCTGCTGCTGCCTGCTTGCGGCCGGGTCATCGGAAGGATGAAGCAATCCGAGTTCTTACTCTTGGCGCCTGTAGCATCGCAAACCTCTGACAACGAATATCAGTGGCAACATCCAATGTCAGAGAGTCCATTTTTACCGCCTGAGCTTACAAAGACCAAGATAAAGAAAAAATTGCCGAAAAAAAGAAGATGATGCATCGGGATGGCCATGGTCAACCTGCCCAGATGGCGCGAACGAACCGCCGGATCCGGCGCCAAGATCGGCAAGCCTGTGAGAAGGTGACGCAGGCCTCGCGGAATGCTATTTGTGTACGCGGCGGTACGTCTCTCGAAAGCAGCTGTGAGAAGCAGGCGGTCGAGCTGGCGGGCCTATAAGCTTTGCCGAGAGCTGGTGCTCAGAGTGTACGTTGAAGTTGCCTTTGACGTTCAGTTGTGCAACGAAAGAAGTGTCTGCTGCCACCGGCATCGATGCCTTGTGGTTCGAACACAGTCAAACAACCAAAGGCTCTACGTCCTGTGCCGAACTTGCAGCGTTCGAGCTCTCGTTCAGTCGCCAGCAGCAGCGCGTGTGGGCATAGACAAGGCTGTGCACGTCATGCAAAGCCCAGCGTGACGTCGAAGGATACTACTCGGC